TTGTTATATACCGTATTAGCCCGAATATAACGCGAATTTAACGCGACTCCAAAATTTTCATAAAGATATTTAGAAAAAAAATAATACTCATAAAAGAATTCAAAGAAAGTAAAATTCAATCAGATAAGCATTTATTTATGTAATTACAGTAGAGCGTCGTTTATCCGAATCAATTGGGGACTAGGGTGGTTCGGATAACTTATTTTTCGGATAACGAATCATGTACGAAAAAATATATTAATTTATCCCATGTTAAAATTTTTCTCCATTGCGTGTCGCTTCGCGTTGAATTTTCGTCGATGTTAAGCCTAATGAAGACTATTGTATCGTTAAAAATTATTTTTTTATTTTATACAAACATAATAAATATATTGAAAAATATAAAAACAATAAAAAATTATACCTCAGATGTTAATTTAGTATCAAAAACGTAAAATATTTGAGTAACCCAAGAAATAGCCGAAGATTGCAGTGCCACAGCACTAGCGAAAATTTAAGTTTGCCGACTGGAATGCTTTTGGATAACAGACGTTTCGGATAACCAGCTTTCGGATAAACGACGCTCTACTGTATAGCTAATAACATAGGCAACCTTTGTAGGAAAATGTCCTTGTTTATATTACATTCCATTACTTAAACCCCGAATTTAGCGCGAGTCGATTTTTTAACGGAAAATAAATGGTTGAAAAATATCGCGTTATATTCGGGCTAATACGGTAATTATTAACACAAATATATCTTTTCCTGTGGTATGAAGCTCTAAACTTTTACAGAAAAGCAAATTGTCCTCAATTGCTTTCTTGAAGTCATATCTAACAAACACAAGTAGAATTGCCAGTCCAGCCACATCTGTAGACTCATCCATTTGCAACGCGTAAGCATCACATGCATGCAATTATGAAATAAGTTTGGTTTCAATGTCATCAGGAATATCAGCAATATGCCTCAACATCATATCATTAGCTAGAGATATAGATTCAACTTATTGAGCAGACTTTTCATCAAATACACAGGAACTACATCTTTCAATATAGGTTTTATCAATGATTCACCAATAGTGTGTGCTTTGCCATGAAGAGAAATATGGTAAGATGCTTCATTTGCATTTTCATTGTCTGTTCTGCATTTCTTCACCATGAAATTTGTAGTTTCAATAAAACTTTCAAGTTACCTTTCAAAAAAAGATTTATCCTTATTTTTATAGACATTATGCCTGGTCTCCATGTGTCTTTGCAACTTTGCTGGTGCCTACAAACTGTTAGCTAATCTTGTGTGACAAAGTATACAAATGGCATCTGGGACTTCATCACCAGTACTAGTAAAGCCATATGACAAATACTGAGGATCATACTTGCATTTCTTTTTGCCTGGCTGCCATTCAGAACAAGAGGGAACCTATTCCGTGTTTTTTTAATTAGTAGTTGCAGATCGTTCCTTTGCAAGTTCACCTTTTTCTGTATCTTCTTTGGATGTTGTTAATTTACTAATCCTTTGGTAACTACCTTGCAGTTTGAAAGATTAGTAAACAAAACAGTTATTATATTGCCACTTATTTCATAATCTATTATTTAAAAATTAAAAGTTTTTTAAAACATAGGTAGATAACACTGAAAATTAATCGGTCAAATATGATTGGCCATGAATGAGATTGAAGTATATTACAGGTAGGCCTCCTACAACGTGGTACCTTTACAACGCGTTTTCATTCCAACGCAGTTGGAAAAATGCGGTAATTTTCTTACAACGCGGTACTTTTATAACTCGGTTTACGGTATTTAGAAACGAATTATCTTTCACATAACAGAAAAATCACAACGAATCACGTGATACGAACCGCAATTCGGCATACAGAACTAAATGTTCTTGAAAACAGCTGTTTGTCACTGTTGGCGTGCTATTTATTTCCTTGAAAGTTTCAGGGTAAGACCGGTTTCTAGACAGATGTGCATCAGTTACCGTAAACGCTCAAATATATCACTAAATTTTCCATCATTTATACTGTTTCAATAAGTGGGGACATCAAAAATGGTCCAAAATACAGTATAAACTTCTATTGGGTGTATATTTTTAACAACATAGTGAAGAAAAGTTATTTTTTGCGAGTTTTACTGTCCACTAAAATGCTTGAAAAAATTTTAGCCATAACAATGCCGAATGAAAAGAAAGGACCGTCGTTAAAAAGGAAATTTATAACTCTTCAAAGATAAAAATTTTGGATCGAATTAAAAATCAAGAGCAGATAGCTGATATTAGTAAGCATTTTAATTTAAATGAGTCGACTATTCGGTCAATTAAGCAATTGGGAGAAAAGATTAGAAATTTAGTAGCATTCGGATCATTTATTCTTGCGAAAAATGTTGCTAGGCCGAGAGCACCTATAATGTAAAAAATGGAACAAGCGCTAATATTATGAGTAGAAGATATGAACAAGAAACGGTTGCCTTTAAATAAAACTGCACTTAAACACAAAGCCTTAAAAATATTTGATTATTTAAAACAAATGGGACAGTCGTCAGCTGCAGTGGCGTAGCGTGGGTGTCAGCTGCCCAGGGCGGAGGAAAATTTCGCTGCCCCCTTATTTAGGTATCACAGTTTAAAAGACTAAAATTCAGTTTCATCACAGAATAAGTAATGAACAATTAAGTGCTCATTTCAATTGGTCCGAATCGTAGATGCGACAGAAATATGAAATGAAATGGTTCAAATTTTTACAAGAAATTATTATTATTTATTGTGAAATTTTGCCGCCCCCTAAAAGTGCTTCCCCTGCCGCCCCCACTACGCTATGCCACTGGTCAGTTGATGAAACCAGTGTTAAATTCATGGCTACCAATGGCTGGTTCGAAAAATTCAAAAAACACCATTCAAACACCAAGTTTTTCTCATTTTAGAACCGAATCCCAGTTTTTGTATTGAGTTGGTGTCTCGTATAATGCGATTTCCCACAATGCTGTATTTTCAAGGAACATATCTACCGCGTTGTAGGAGGCCTACCTGTACTTAAAAATTTCTAAAAATTTGTTAGTATGGTAAATGAACATTCTTCAATTTTGAATAAAAATTTTATACCAAAAACATACAAAAAGCTAGCAGTTTCTAATGGAATTGAATGTATTGCCATAATCATCCTGAATTATTATTAATCAAGTTATTGTTTCTTTAAACACACTTATTTTTTTAATGTTACTTTTTAAATTTAAAATGATTTTTTCCCCCTGATAAAATTATTTACCAATTACTCCAATTTATTGGCAACTTAATCATTACTTGTGATAAGTTGGAGGAGCTGATTTAGAATTATTAACAATCAGCAAACAATTAATTGGTAACCTTTGGAAAAGAATATCAAATTCCAAATTAAAGCCTTTATTACAGCCTTTGCATACTTAGGGATTTTTTTCGGGTTAGGAAATGCACAAGATTGACTTAATGGAGGAACATTATTTACTGTTTGAATAGTATTGTACTCTGCAACTGCATGTTGCCAGTCCTATTTTCTTTGTTAAATGTGTGTAAAGATCTAAGTTCTTTTCTTGTTCTTTTAACCTATCATTGAGAAGTTGCTATTATGCATGCTCAGACTAATATTTTTAATTAAACTTCATTAATGAAGTTAATGAATTTTAGATAGTAAACATTTATATTATAATAAATAATAATAGAATTATTATAATAAATACACTTAGGTTTGTAAACAACAAAAAACAAGAACAAAGGTTATGTCTTGCTGAGATGACTACTAATAACAGTGTAACTGTTAGACCCAATATTATGCTGGCCAACTCCCCTTTTCTAAATGCTTTCTCACATTACAAAATGGGCTAGGTAGTGGTGGCTCAGCAGGATTTGATGGTAAATTTTAATTCTAAGATATTAAAGTTTAACTTAATGAGTCAACATCCCTTTTAACTAACAGTAACAAATTCAAAATATTTCATTTAAAATTTAAATTACTCCATAATCATTTCATTTTAAAACAAATTTTAAATATTATAGCATATTAGAAATATCAAAGAATAATATCCCTTATGTTAAATCTAAATTTAATTTTTATTTCGAAAATATTCATACCAATTCTCTGGCCATCATACTAATTATGGCTATGTTGGTCAGAGAATACAAGAAAAATGTTCTTAATTTTTATTTAATTTCAGTATTAATCTTTTTACTTGAATAAGAATCCAATTTGTCTTTCTGTAACATAATTTTTATTTATACAGTTTTATATACTATTAAGTGTATTTGATCTAAGTTTCTTTTAATAGTCAAATTTACTCACATCAGTCTAGAACAGACATGGCCAACATATGGCCCGCGCGGGCTGGATCTGGCCTGTCTAATGAATTTATGCGGCCCGCGATTACTCTTTCAATATTAGCTACTCAAGTCCGAATAGCTCAATGAAAAATTCTGATGCCTAAAAATGAAAAAGGTCAACAACTCGCTGTGCATTTAGAGTTAACGCTCCATTACAAATCTCTTAAGTACAGCGTAGAACGTTGATAAAGCATGGTAATGTGAAAAATGTATCTGTAATCCATATGTGCAATTTAGTCTCTACGGGGTGACACCACAATGAGATCTCTCACCACCTCAAAATCTTCCTAGGGCAGCCTCTGATTCGGCCCGTGAAAAAAGTTTTTTCCAATTCAGCCTGGGGTCAAAAACTGTTAGCCACATCTCTGGTCTAGAATGTGGTGGGATCAGTCTAATAAGTCAAATGTTTTCAAAGCAATGTCTGCATTTAGTGTTTTCAAATATTTTCGACATTACTAAAGTTCTTTTCATCAGTAATTATCTGAAAAATAACTTTCTTTAGTACTTAATACTAAATAAAATTAAAATCATTTTACACTTTAATTTCCTTCAGTTTAATTTTATTTAGTATTATATAGTATTAAAGTGCAAAATGATTTTATTTCTGAAAATTCTAAAATTGATTTGAATGATTATATAATTTCGAGTTTCTTTAAATTCTAAGTTGGCATTTTTTATTTCAGATATTGCTACTGTTCACTGTTATGATGGATATAAATACAGCATTGGTTTGTACAGCTGTTTTTGTTTTCTCAGCCATTATGGTTTATTTAATTTCTGTATTTGGAATGAAAGAACGAACATATGAAGAAGCTATAGAGGAACAAAGACGACGAAATCAAGAAGCATCTCATCATGTAAAATCTGATAAATCCAAAAAAGATAAGAAGTTTAAAAAATGGAGAAGTCGAAAAGAAAAGAGTAGTGAAGATGAAAAATTACTTGAAGGATCAATTGAATTAGAACATGTTAATCATCATGCAGACTTTAAGACAGAATCTACAATGATGGAAGATTCAGATACTGAACCAAAAGTGAAACCAAAGAAAAGATCAAAATTTTTTATTTCTAAAATTTCTTCTCTGAATAGAGATGAAGCAACTCAACTTTCTTCTTCAACAGAAGAAACAGATGATGAGCAAACTACTACTTTTTCAAAAAATTTTCCAGAAAATGATACAAAAAAATTAATTAATGAACAATCTGATTTAGAACAGCTACAACTTGAAAAAGAAAATGAGATAAATGGAGTTCAAGAGGAAAAGACACAAAAACAACAGAATTGTAATAGAATTGCAAAACAAATTGATCAATCAAAAACAAATGAAACTTACAATCTTACTTCATCCAATAAGTCATCTCCTGTGAAAAAGAAAAAAATCAGAAATGATGTTGCAGGTAAGTTTGTTTTATTGTTCATTTACACATGTAATTTTTTTCCAAAATGGTGTTTCCTTTGCTATAGAAGTAAATTTAAAATATTGGAGCTATAAAGCAAAAAGAGATTCAAACAAACTGCCTCGTTTGAAAAAATGCTACAAAAATAAGGTATTTTCAGTAGTAATGTAAAAAAAAATTTGTTAAAGCACTGTCTTTTTGAAGTGATGGTTCCATGATTGCTACTATACAGGTAGCCCTTGGTTTACACAGGCCCAATTTACACCAATTCGCAATAACGCCGCTGCACAATTTGCTGTTTCACTGTGTAATTCCCCGATTTCTCCCATACTAGACTGATTTTTGTTTCAGTGTCGATGTATTTACTGAGCTGCGACATTGTATATTCGTTAAAACAAAGATTTTTATTGTTATATTTATTTTTTCTGTTTAATATTTTTGGGTATGTATACATTTACATTAAATTAATATTAAAATAAATAAAAATATTAAAATACGAAATGTGTAGGTACCCACATATACAAGAATAAAGGAGGGTTATTATGTCAGATAAAAGAAGTGCATCAGAGTTATCTAAATATGTTAAAAAGACATGACAATCTATTTCCCTAGAAACAAAAAATGGAAATTATTTGACAAATGGAAAATGGACAAAAAGGCCCTAATATCTGCGGATATTTGAACTTTCCTCCATCAACTGTTACTACCATTATGAAAAATACAGATAAAATTAAACTCTGCTCAACAGTCTATGGCAGGGGTCGGCAGGAGCAGCTCGCGAGTTGCATGTGGCTCTTTGCATAGACGTTTGTGGCTCTTTAGACGTAAACTCCAATTTTGTCTCATCTCAAGCAGCCTTATAACTTATGAGTTTGAGATAGAGCCACTGAACAAACTTCAACTTGTACAGCATACTCTCTACCACCCTTTAGCCCGTCTGCACATGACCACACTCGCATTGATTAATATGAGTCACATGCAAGTGGTAGCATTTGAAACATATCTGTATGTATGTATGTATGTATGTATATGTATATATATATAAAACCCATTAAATGCATGTCCGTCTGTCCATGTAACGTTATGCCAAAAATGACCACTAGAGGCGTCCCTGTCGTGTGTTGTATTTCGCACATTTAAATTAATAATATAAATTATTATTTACATTAACAGTATAAATTATTATTATTCATTTGGCTATTGAGAGCCACATATATGTAATATGCATACGTATATTACATATATGCGGCTCTGGTACTTTTGTTATCCTGTGTCCATGACAATTTGGCTCTTCTCACTTGACAAACTGCTGACTCCTGGTCTATGGCAGTAAATATAAAATGTGAGTTACAGTAGAGGTAAAATTTTTGAAAAAATGGAAAAATTGTTATCATTATGGATGGATGATGCAAATCAAAAAAAACATTCCCTTGATTCAAGCTGCTATAATTGAAAAAGCAAAACCAATTTTTGATAATCTTAAGGAAAACAGATGGAAATGAAGAAACTTTTTTTGGGAAGCAAGGGTTGGTTTGTGAGATTTAAATCCCAAAGTAACTGTTGTAGTGTAAAATTATGTGGTGAAGCAGCAATTGCAGATGTTGCGGCAACAGTTACTTTTCCTAAGGAATTTCAGGATTATGTAGAACAAGGCAACTATTCTCCAGACCTAATCTTTAACATTGATGAGACTGGGCTATATTGGAAGACATTACCAGCACAAACTTTTATTTCTTGTGAAGAACATTTTACTCCAGGTTTTAAAGTTGCGAAAGATAGATTAACTTTTTTGTTGGGAGCCAATGTTTCAGGAACATTGAAACTTAAACTGATGTAAGTGTATCATTCACAGACACCATGTGCTTTAAAGGGTCTAAATAAAGATATGTTGCCAGTTTATTGGAAGTGGAACAAGAAAGCATGGGTCACGTGAGATGTTTTCACAAATTGGTACATAAGTTACTTTTGTCCTACTGTGCTTTGCTTTTGTGAAGAAAATAAATTACCACACAAGGCACTTCTCTTGGACAGTGCTCCAGGGCATCCTCAAACCTTTTTTTTATTTGTGGTTTTAGGCCCCTTACCGCTCAGAGAGCACAAAGTGGCCAAGAATGTTGTTTATTCAAGAGTGTACTGTATTGGTTAGTGTCCCTAAATGGGCTCAGACGTCCCAAGTAGGGGTAGGGCTCATAATTACTAGTCCCTTGTGAGGGCTTGTAATTTTACATTTTATATGTTATGTCTTAGTTTTTATTATTTATGTTATATTTGATGTAATGCTTTAACTTACCATAAAATTATTTTTTAATTTATTAAGAGTAAGGAAAGGTAGATAGAATAATTGCAGTATGCATCCCTAGCCAAACCTGACCTAACCAGTTTTTGAATTTCTCAGAGTGGGTGAAGAAGAGAAACCACAGTGAGCAATTCAGAGAGAAAATCTTCCAGCGAATTTGGAATAGTTATTTTTGAGAAAGTGCCATACCACTGCTGGTATAGGCTACAGCCTTCCGGGAGGTCTGTAAAATTATAGGGGAGCTGACCCTCCCCCCATATGGGGAGAAAGAAGGTGGAGGAAACCTGGAAAAACTCCACCTGGTCAGCCAGGAAGATACCAAAAGGGAAATTTATTAAGTGCCTGGGGATAAAAACGAACAGGGAAATGCTGGAAAACTTTACCATGTGTGGGAGAGAGAGTGTTTGCAAGAGAAACTGAAGAGATCCACCAGTCTTCAACAGGTGTGTAGTCCTGTGTGGTGGGAAAAGGCAGATGACACTTCTTCACATGAGGTTTGGTGGTGGTGGATTCTTGTTTTATTTATGCTTCTCTTCTTCCTGCTTTTTTCTTTAATATTGTTAAACTTATAGCTAATACTTACTACTAAGCAGTGCAAGCAATGCAGAGCGAGCTGCGCTGGAAAGAAGTATGAAGAGAGTGAGCTTAAAATTTAGGAGGCAAAGGATGTTTAATTTAAGCAGGAAGGAATTGGGTTTTGTATTGTACTTATAAGGATCCTCGGGTGGGGAAGGAAAGAGAGAGGGTTAGAATTAAAGTGATAGAGTTAGAACAGTAGTATTGGGATGAAAGTATGTACATTATGATTTATGTGTAGATACAATATAATATTTACAACTTTTTTTTTATTTTTATAAATTACAAAGTACTAAGTACAAGATACAAAATACATAAAAACTAAATACAAATACAAACAGAACATTACAAAATAATAAAGGAAAAGAGGACATAATGAGTATTTACACTGCAAGAGAAAAGTAAGAGGAGTATAGTGAGATGAAATAATGTTTTATTAAATAAAAGGGGAATTTAAAGAGTGAAAGTTATTTATAAAAGCCCAAACCCAGAGAAGAGATTTGGACTGAAAGAATGGAATGTTAGTGTGCTTTTTAATTTAGAATAGTGAGTGAAGGGTTTATATGAGTTTAATGTGTTTGTGCATTAACTCAAATAAGAGTAACTGTTAGAATTAAANGATCCAGTAAGTCTTAGTTCTGATAGAGCTGCAATCGGAATATTGCATTTAGCAAGTTCACTTGCAATGATTTCCTTTTGGCCAACATGGTGTCCTGTTCTGACGTTCCATGCAGCAATGTTCAATCCAATTTTTGGGGTGATATATAGTCTCTGTCTGTGTCTGTGGCCCATATCCAATTTCTCGCCAGCGTCCTGGGACCATAGTGCTGGCGCATCGGCTGCCCCAGATGCGGAAGCATTAGCTGCAATCTGGATTCGTTCGAAATTCATGCGGTTTCTTGGCTAGTTTCCCCAGTTTCCTGGTTCTGGTCATTTCGCCAGAATGACCACCTTCCTCCTTTCGCAGCCGGGCTTAGGACCGTCCAAGGCGGAGTTAAATTACAAAGTACTAAGTACAAGATACAAAATACATAAAAACTAAATACAAATACAAACAGAACATTACAAAATAATAAAGGAAAAGAGGACATAATGAGTATTTACACTGCAAGAGAAAAGTAAGAGGAGTATAGTGAGATGAAATAATGTTTTATTAAATAAAAGGGGAATTTAAAGAGTGAAAGTTATTTATAAAAGCCCAAACCCAGAGAAGAGATTTGGACTGAAAGAATGGAATGTTAGTGTGCTTTTTAATTTAGAATAGTGAGTGAAGGGTTTATATGAGTTTAATGTGTTTGTGCATTAACTCAAATAAGAGTAACTGTTAGAATTAAAATGTATCAAAAGAAAACCCAAGTTCCAAAAAGAAAGTTGGGTTGAAAGAGTTAATGTGTTATTTACTAGAGAAAAGTGCAAGTGGGGTGGTGTTAATGTGTTGCTGTACGTTAAATTAAATAACAAGTAGGTATTTAAATGTAAATTAAATAAAGAAGGCCCAAACCCCTAAGGAGGAAAATGATCTGGCAAAACTAGTGTGATTACTGATAAATTAGAGGCAAAAGTAGTTAGAAATGTGATTACATTTTTTTTTTTTATGTTAAAATTAATAGAAGAGTTTATTTTAATAGTGAAGTACGCAAGAGAGTCCAAAAACCAGGAAGGAAATTGGGCTAAAAGATTGAAAGTTATTTGTGATAATTTAGTTGAATTATAAAGGTGCATGTAACGTGTTTATAATATGTTGTTCTAAATTAAATTTAATGTAAAGAAATTATTGTTAATGTAAATTTAATTTAGAAAGCCCAACCACCTAAGGGGGGAAATGGGCTAAAAAGACTAGTGTATTTTCTGATATGTTAATTTAATTACAGAGGTTGATAGTGATGTGTTTTATGTTATGTTTTTGTACTTTTAAATTAATAAGAGTTTATTTTAATATTAAAATTTAACAAGAAAAGTCCAAGGACCAGGAGGGAAAATGGGCTAGAAGGGCTAAAGACAATGTAATTTGTGATAATTTAGTTGAATTATAAAAGGTGCATTTATCGTGTTTGTACATTATATTTAATAAAAGAACTTATTATAAATGTAAATTTAATTTAGAAAGCCCAAACCCAAAGGAGGGAAA